TTCGCTGCACCAAAATCCGCAGCAGTTGCAGCAGCATAATAAAAAGTATGTACGGCACACGAACGAACGAACGAACGAACCCATGGCTAAGTAGGAATCGCGCTGCAGATTGCTGGGTCAGGTCAGGTCAGGTTGGGGATCTGGGATGGATCTGGGATGGGGATAGTGCGATAGTCGGGTTAAGGCCGTCCGCTTGGCCAGAAGAGCAGGCCTCGGAGCTCTCTTCTATTCGGTGTACTGGTGCTGCAGCGGAGCTGACACGGTGACCTAAAGGCGACAACAGCCGCATGCGGAATGGAGCTTGGAGCAGGGGAGTGTAATACAGATAGAGAAACATAATATTATTTTAAATTTTAGTCTGGAATAAGGTCACAAAATAATGTAGCGCCATCAGATAGTTTTAGGGCAGTATATATTTCATCTGTCAATATCTATAGACACACCAAAAAATGTTTCATATCAAACTATTGGTTTAGAAGTTATTAAGAAAGTTTTAATCATGACGTCACTGCATATTCAATTATATACAACATCGTACAATTTATTATAATCTTATTATTTTAAAACCGTTTTTCTGTGTACTCACAGTAGCGACACAATGGAAGCCCACAAACAACACACTGATATTGTTTGCTTTGTGCCTTTGGCTGGTTGTGGGGAAAAGCCAGCAGTGCTAATAAACAATGGGCCTTGGCTCGGAAAAATGGGTCCACAAACAAGGACAAGGGGGAGGGGTCCGTGGGCAAACGCATCTGAGACTTCCTGGGCGCTGTCGCTACTAGATGTTTTTAGCTGTTTTACGCTTTTAGGGCAATTTGGGGACAACGTGGCGTATGCGTGTCGTGTCTACGATGCCTTTGCAGGTGTCAAGTGCCAAGTGTGTAGTTTACCGCAAAGTGCTGCCCTCTCTCTAGCTTCATACCATACATGTATGTATATGTATGCATGTTTTAGTTTTCATAACCCGGAGCGCTAAAAAATAACAACAAAGGACATTTTCCATTCGGAAGCCACTGCGGCAGCTATAATGGCCACCGCATAACAGGCACAAACACAGCCGAGACAGGGCCTTAAATTGTTCAATTCAAAGGCTTCTCCGGAGCATTTACGAGCGACAACAGGAGCACACAACTCAACACAACACAAGGAAAACGTAAACGAAAACGAATCCTGGGCTAGCACCAAAGGGAAACTCGTTAAATGCCATGGCTGCCTGGCTGCCTGCCTGCCTGCATATATTGTTTGTGGCAGCATGTAAAGATGGGCCTCCTTTCGCCGCCGCCGACTTCGACGGCGACTTCAAAAGGGAGTGAAAGTTTTTCTTTGTCATCTATTAAGGCATTTCCTACGAATGAATTATCCATGCTGAAAACCTTTACTCTCACTTCAAAGAAAGTTTTTGAAGCAAAAATATGTATACGTTTTTCTTTAAGAACGGATAGGAAGTATGCACTCCTTTAATGGAGACTGTAATTGTACAAACACTACAAAATTTAACAAATTTGTTCAAGAAATGAATCCCACTTAATTTAGTAACGAGTACAGAAACAAGATTAAGGTACCCTTCAAATAGACACACTATTTATTTTAAGCTTTATTGTCAACTCAATATTTTCAGTTGAAGTTTTTCTTATTATCTTTGAAACGCGGCTAACTGTTAAAATTTATAAGCTTTCATATTCGTTTTTTAGGGACATAAGTCTTAAATTTCCAGAAATAAAGCAGAGCGTGATGATTTTTTAATTCCACATTTTGTTTTGAAAGTTTTCTTATACTCAGGCAACTTTAAGCGAAAAAAAGGAAGTTTAGTTAAGTTCCCTTAATGAAACTTTAACATCGAGACTGTAATCTTGGCAAACATTTTCCCTATGGCTTGGATTTTCTGTACCCAAGCCAACAAATTAATTAGTTTTCAACACTCGAGTTACTTTAAATGGCAATTCGTATAATTAATTTCGCACACATTGGCACGAGAAGTGCAAAGCAAATCGAAATCAGCAGAGTGGTCGGAAGTGTTTTTGCTAGGCTAGGGCTGAAGTAAAAGGACCTGCTGTTGGCCAGGTCAGGGGTCACATTCAGAGAGAGTAAGAGAAAGAGATAGAGACACACATATCCAGATTTCGATCCATCGAGAGCCATTGAAAGAGCCAAAGGAAGCAATTTTCCTGCCGAATGCGTTTCCACAAAAGCGAAGATATTGCAGAATACACAAATACACAAATACGAGTGGGTGTGTGTGTGGGTGTGCATCATGCAGTGGTTATATTGTGGCTAGTCGACCAGGACAGGAATCCTCTTCTCAGCCACCCATCCTGTGTGCAATCACTCAAACGGCTAAGAAATCAACTGCCAAAGTCATAAATTTTCGGTTTGCAAGCTGCAAATTATTTCACCATCATCCTTTTGGCTCCTTCGCATTCTATCCCTTTTGCTGGCAAAAGTTAAATAATGCAAGGACTACAAGTACAGCATGTGTGTGTGTTTGTATGTGTGGGCGAGAGAGACTGAAGGCCAGTGAAAAATTGTGCAGAAATATTTAAACTGCAATTCCAAAGCGATTTGCTTTATGGCCCAAGCTCACTCGAGCATTGTTTCGTTGGCATCCAGGACTAGGACTAGCAGCTCCGGATGCGGATGCGGATGGGGGTACGAATTTGCTTCCGGCTGCGCGGAAAACTTAACTCGGATTTGATGTGGCCAAGCATCTGTTAATGCTGCATGATTTATACCCCATACCTCATTATATCCCACTAAATCATGGCTGGTAGGAAAAGCTTTGTAGAGTACGTCAATGTTGCTCCGAATTTTTGGCACCGAGAGAGAGAGAGTGTCCGGCGAGAAGGATGTGTGGTCAATGCACTGCCGTTTCCGGTGGTTCCGCCGCTTCCGCTCAGCGGTCGTAAATTTCAGCATGCATTGCAGTGCCGCTTTTGCATGTCCTCCATCCAGCAACCTTCCAGTTTATTATTTTATCGGAGGCGAGTCTTCTGCACTCCGTTGGAGCTGCCAATTGTCATCGCCAGACTTCCAAGTCCGCGCTCGCATTCTGGCCATCCTGATAGACCGACCTTCCTTTGCTTTGTCAGCCCTTGTATCCTTTCAGAAATGATTTGTTTGGCCGCCTGCAGTTGGCTTTCTTTTTTTTTTCCTTGGCCAAAGCGCGATAAATCAACACTTGCCGCAGACACACCCTCGTTCTGGGTGACCCCACCGACCGGCCTGAGCTTGCGGATTACTATGCATTAGTACGAAATTAGAACTATTATATTTATAGCGCAAATAGTCAGCACATCATTTCTACAGCGCCCAGGTAAAAGGCAAAAAGCAAAAGGGGTACAGAAAAAAATAAACCCGCAAAAACCTAAGCTCTTATGTACATCTGAAAAAAATGCATAGTTTCCTAAAATAATTATCTTAAAAAATATAAGATTAATTTAATCAAGAATTTACTTTAATTACTCGAAATTATGATCTTATGTTATTTTAGACACATTTACTTTTTATGACCTTACATTTTTAACATTAGCGATATTATAATAGGGATATTTACGTTTTTAACTAAATTTTCAACTCTTATAACTTTCTATTGGAATAGATATAGAGTTCAGACCTTAACACTTTTCTGTTTGAGAATCAACTACAAACAGTAATTAACTATAAGGATTATTAAGAATGTTGTATACCCAATAGTTTTAATAGTTTGGTTTCTTTGGAAATGTGTGTGTCTACCTACTAATTTAAAGTTTATTTAATGATACATCTTCTATGTTTTTCTCGTGGTGTATCCACCGAGCCATTAGACACGCCTAGCAGTCACTGTCTGGCGTTGGGCTGTAATAAAAACATAAAATGTTGCACATTATGCAAACAAACTCACATGCACAGTGGTCCGCACCCACACACACATTTTAGCTTTGGCGATGGCGCCGCATGTCTAACGGTTTCGTTCGCCATTTACAAACACACACATGCACACGCACACTTGCACACACGAAGGACGAAGGACGAGGACACGCACACAGATACGGATGGATACCTTGTGCTAAGCAAACTTTAGGCCCTGCAGCCTCGGAGCAAAGTGTGTGTATGAGTGTGTGTGTTGGTGTGTGTGTGTGTTCGGAGAACATTAAATTTATTTGAAATTATTATTATGCGCATTTACCTAACATTTGCATAACCGTCAACGGTTTACTGGAGGAGCTTAGGTCTCCTCCTCTGCCGGCCAATTTGCGAGTGAAATGTCGACGGGAAACTGGGAAACTGGCAAACTGGGGAAACTGGGCCAAAGCAAAAGCCAAACAGCTTATAATGTGATTGAAAAGTCCGCGCGGAGTGATCTGGTGCAAAATTATTTTGCCGATTTTAAAGAGCATTAATCACGCCGCAGGACCTGGAATGTTTTGTCAACTGTTTTATGGCAAACAATATTATGCATTCGCTTAATGCGCTAGTTTATGGCTTCAACTGACCGGCATAAATAAGCAGCGGTGAAAAAATGAAAAACAGAGGCCAGCCAGCCAGCCAGCAAAAAAAAAAACAAAAAGGATATATAAAAATAAAAACATGGCGCATAAATTAAAAGCACTGCCACATCGTGCACACAAAGCTGCACACACATCGGAAAATTGTTTTAAATAATTAAATGCTGGCTCGGCACTTATTTACGCCATTTACCAAACTGTGTGCACTAGGTGTGCATGGAAAACAAGCTCAATTGGCAGTGGATTTTAAACTTAAGGATGCCCTATAAACCTAAATATATATATATACCTATAACTAATTAATTCTTGAAAAATAATAATGAACATTCTTAAAGTATATTTGATATTTATCCATATTAAGGATGGATAAATCATGACCTAGAAACTTTTCTAGTTTAGGGTAATAGTTAGTTGCCCAATTCAAAGCCCAACTCTTTTGCAAATGTTTGCGACTGAATGCTAGCATAGAGATGTTTTTATGTACGCCTTCACACAATAAAATTATATAAATATTGCACACGGGCAATGTGGCTCGCTTTTAGTTTATTTTACTGTTCGTTCATTTTATTGTGATCCGTTGATATTTTGTGTGAGTTCTCCCCTTTTTAGACTTCGCCCAGTGTAAGTGGGTTGGAGAGGACAAAGGATTGTTGGCTGGTCACCGCTTTTTCCCTGCCCTCGAAATCCACAAAGATGTCGAACTTCAAGTCGAAGATGCTTTCCTCGCTGGGTTTCATGCTGAACATGCCCTTGATTGACTCGCCCGCTTTCACAAAAAGTGGAGTTTCCAGATAGAAAACAGTTTGATTCCAGTGAGTCCAAGGTGCACAAGGTGATGTACTAAAGCTGATCCCTTGTGGACTCCAGCTAAATCCCACATCGAAGTAGGCAGCCAGGGCATGAACCCAGCCATTTCGGATGACCTTCAGTTCGTAGAAGGACTGAAAGTTGGCGGCATTTCGGGGCACACTGTAAAGGTCCAGCGATTTGATCAGGCACACCTTGCTCATCACCTGATCGCCGGTTACGTGCTCCACGACAGCCTTGGATTCGCATCTTCGCCGGATGGCGGACAGGTCAAAGCCGTGCAAATCGTTCCAGAAACCGAGGTCCTGATCCCGCCCCTTGATGGCCGCCAAATAAAGCTGCGCCGAGTCCGGAAATATGTGACCACCGGCCACCAGCCACTTGTCCCGCGCAAATATCAGCGAGTTCAGCATATTTTCCGAGAAAAGGCAATAACTGTAGCAAAAAGGTCTAAGGTTATCGGTGGGTTTAAGTAAATTACCAGAAAGAATAATAACAATGAATTGGTGGCGGAAAAAAGAGAGTATTTGAATTTAAAGCATGAATTGTGTGCAGGTAGTAGAGGTTAATTAAGTCTAACAAAATAATTAAATTATAGAAATAAAATTTGACTATAAAAATTTGACCCAAAATTTTAAAACTAACAATCACTAATGAAATGCAAGCTGATAAAAAACGTAAGAAATTCAAATATTTTAAACTAAATACATAGTTTTAAAATATCCATAGCATACCCCATCCAGTCGCAAACAATGATGTCCACCTTGTGGATATCGGCAGGCAACTCTATGTCCTCCACTTTTCCCCGCATCACTGTTACAACATCGGCATATCCATTGTCATGGACAATCCGTTCGGCAAAGTCCGTAATACTGGCCGCATCCACAGCTAGGACCCTTTTAGCGCCCGCCTTGGCGGCAAACATCGAAAGGAGGCCCATTCCGCAACCCACCTCCAGAACAGTCTATTTTTTTTTTAGGGTTTAAGGATAACTTTAGTGAAAGAGCTTTTGTTTTTTGGTAATTCTACTCTACCCACCTTATTTTTGAAGGACTCGTTGCAAATGATAGCCTCACGATATGCCTTATTTCGGACAGAATCCTTCAAGAGCCACTCCTGCACTTCAAGGCGGCCATAAAGCGTGAAATAAAGAGCCTCCTGTTGGCGATGATTCTTGAGGCGTTTCAGCGTCAAATCAACAGTACGATCTCCACTGTCACACTCCCCATAATCCTTTTCTGCCTCGTACTCAAACATTTTTTTGGACGCACAAATTATACAAAATTATACTATACGGAAATCGCACAGGTAAATAGATATCTAAGATACGGGCTAAATGGCTTATTTTGCCAGAGCTGGTTTTTCATAATTAATTCCTTAAATTACCGCCCTTCTATCCCTCCGCACGTGCATTAACTAATTAAAAAGCTCATTAGCGTACATAAATCAGCGTTATGCAGACATAAATTTCATTATTACATCCAGCCAGCTCCGCTGACCCACTACTCTGAGGACAATGGACCATGATGAGCTGTGCTGGCTTGGGAGTGGCAAACAAGTTTGTGGAGGATGCTGATGCTGATGCCGAAGCCACCGGACAAGGGATATCATTCACTTCGTCTTAGGCATCTTCTTTATCCGTCGGACACTCAGAAAACAATGTCTTCGTCTAGTCGGGTTCGCAATTATGGCCACACTGCTTCCGGACATTCCCAATTCGATTGTGGGGATGGGAATGGAAATAGGAATTGTGGACCGAGAAAGTGAAAAGTGAAAGATACCCACCCCATGCCCCCCTTGCCTTATTTTTTTTTCGTTGTCCGCCTTCGGCAGTCAGAATTCTTGACTTAAGCAGGGCACAGCAGAGCGTGAAAACATCATAAAGATGAGAAATTATTATCTGCTTCATGTCTAGGGGAGCATTTAGCTGCTCTGTTAGCGGCCCTGAATGAAATATCACATCCTGCAGAGGAATAAAAATCAGCGTCGGTAAAAAATAAACACATAAGAGAAAGAAGTAAGCAGGAAGCATCCGGAGCTCGAGCAGGAAGACAAAAGTATATACATCCACATCCACACCCGCAGACGAACGATATAAGTCGCTCGCAGCGTCAAAAAGACAATGATGAGGCAGGATGCTACCGGAATGGGTTCACAGAAAGAAAAATGTTTTATATATTTCAAATTGTCCACCAAGTGTGTCAAATGTCAATCAAGGTACGGCCAAATCCAGGTCAATAAAACTATTAATGTTTATCCATGACCTACGCACCATCAATCAATTTAACTGACAATAAATAAAAAATTTATTAAAAAAAATGAACAAATTTAACTTGACATTAATTTAAAATATCATCACTATTGCCTTATTACAAATTTAATAAAATAAAAATAGCTAAAGACAGAAACTTTATTTTAACTATAATTTCGTAACTATTGTACTTTGATAAATAATGCCAGAAAAAGTAAATGTCTTTAAAAAATACCTTTTTGTTTAAAAGTTTTTAGGAAAACCCATTTGCTAAGGTTAATCTGGCCCCAGCCTTGACAGCATTCCTTTCTTAAGTTATTCAGCAATTAAAAATACATAAACATCGTAAGTATCTTAAATGATATCTAATCATTTTTTTAACAGTGTATCATGTCTCTTTCCTGAAGCCTAAATCGGTTGAGAAATATGGAAGCTGGCAGCAAGTACAGAAAATAAAGACAGCCTCTGGTCGGCATCAAAAGTGACGAAAAATTGTAAAAATAAAATATAATGGCAACGCAGGACTTCTCTGACTCGTCCTGGACTTGGGCGATAATTTTTTATTTGTATGCCAGCCCCGTAAGCCAAAAGTGAAGGGCACTACTTCCAACCAAAAAAAAAAAGGGTGATGGTGATGGAAAAGTGGGTTGAGCCACATAAACAGGAGATACAGGAGCAAATACAAATACAAACACAAACAGAAGCACAAACACTTTGCGGCCATCGCCGTCAAGCTGCGCGTTATCCTTTGTGTAATTTCTGGTTTAATGAGGCGGCATTGGGATGGACCCGCCCACCTCCTCGCCCTCCTCCTGCCATCCTGCAAGGCCATAGGTAAGCATTTTTACACTCATACATTTTTACGAGCCAAACATTAAGTTAAAATTTGTGTTAAATATTTTATTGTTTTTATGGCCGCATGAACACCTTGCAGCGACACGAGCCGGGCAAATTATGAGATTCAAGGGGAGCTAAAAGAGACAATATTTTCAGGATTTTCTGTCCCTGGCTACACAGAAAAATAAATTGTTAAGAAATGATACTCGTCTTGATGAAATTCCGTATTTATTTGTTCTTGATACTTGAATGCAAAAGAGAGAGCAACCAGTTACCGTTTAATTAAATCTATTTTACATTATTTAATGTTAAAAACGAAAGTAAAGGAAATTGCTGTTACAAAACTTCTAAATATATATACGATTTCAAATTGGGGTGAGAGTAGCTAAATATTTGTTTCACTTCTAATAATAATTTGTATTGAAGTCTGTTTTTTTGAACTTTGGATTTTACGCATGTTTGTTTGATTTTTACTTCTTATCAACGGAATAAGTTAGCTGTCTTATCTCTCATTGCCAGGAAGTTGGTAAATCATTCTAAGATTATTTTCTATTTTAGTAATAGTGCCGCGAACTTTTTATTTTACTTTGGCGAACTATGAGTTTATTTATTAATATTTTTAATTACGCAATTGCACCTGTAACAATCGAATCTGTAGGAGATAAAATAATACTTTAATTCTATATCTTTATTAGCCAATATTTTTCAATCTTAAGAAACAAGTGTTTTTTGTTTAGACAACGGTTAGACGTTCCGGTGACTCTCTAGAGACCCAGAACTCGACACGTGCGTTCATTAATAGTTGCCAACTGTCCACAGATTGTTTCACTTATACTCGATAATCTGCGCACTTCCTGCTGACCCTCTCAGTTCAAACAAATCCAGATTTCGCCCATTATGAAATTGGCAATTAGTTGACTGGGTTGTGACAGCTGCTGAGGGCATGGCTCAGGTAGAATCGACTTCGGGCCAACATATGGCAGCTCAACGCCCTCAACCCTTGAGCGAATCGCACTTGACAGCCGTGAAGCGTCGACTTGTAGACGAATAAAACACTCTGGAAGGCATTCACCTGACGACTGAAGTCACAAATTAGTGATTGCATTGGCTCTCTGGCATATCTGTATATATATATATAGACCTATTAACGGACCAAAGTGAATTATGATTACGGGATAGCATGCATGAGTTTATGGCATGCAGTAGTATAGTAGCCCCCGAGTATTTGGAGATTTATTGCAGCTAAAAATCAACGCTAATATAATGCATAAATCAGAGTGCTTAAGTGAACGTATATTAGGTATTTGCCAGTGCACTAGAAGGAAGTCCTCCAGTAAAGGTCCTGTGAACCAAGTGAAATTCAGCGAAAACGAAACATTTTGGCAAAGTCGTTGGGTGGCAAAAAGTGGGTGGTTTCGGGTGGATTTGGGTGGCAATACAGCGAGAGAGAAAGGTTAGCATATTGAGGGCGTCTCTCTGAAGTTTCTCTCTTAATCTCTTTTGCAGATAAGCGCAGGCGCTTTCATTTTCCACCTTCCAGTCGCGGAGTTTTCCTCTCTCGCACACACCGCCTGCAAAAAGGGAAATATTTGGCAGTCAAACACGGGGAAACTGGGTTTTCTCGGCCACCGCAGCAGATGTTGGCTAATTAAAGCATTACAAAACGTAGGTCAGGCTCGCAAGAACCGTGAGAACTTTATGACTGTCCACAAAGTGACGATGCAAATGGTACATCATGATGCATTCTTCCAAATGCAGGTAGAACCTCAACTCAGAGATCACAAATAATGGACCAAAGCATTCCCAGGCATAATTAAAAACCCATTTAAGAAGGGGGTTCGCTTTGGCTCGGTTTGCTCAAATTATCCAATTATCTGGCCCATGGCAGAGGTTACGGTTCTATGGCTACTCAAACAGAAATGTTTCGGGTGTTTGGCACTTAACACATTTCCACATGGCTTCAGTTTTGGCTTTTTAAGCTGGCCGCGCAGGCCCATTTCGCCCTTTTGCTGAGCGCCAAGCGAGTGTTGAGTTGGGAGTTTGCGGAGAAACTGGTTTTTGGGTCACAAGCGAAGGGCTCGACAGTGTCGAGAACAGGTAAACTCGAGATAATTATTCAATGAAGCCGAGGGAGGCCTACAGATAAAAAAAACTGTTTGTAAGCCAATTAGATTCATTAAAATTTACTTATAAACTAGAATTTTTACGGAACTTGCTATAGTACTTAAAATTCAATAAAATAGCTTTTATTCTGAACCAATTATAGGGGACACCTTAAAAATGTTGTGATGTTAGTATTTAAAAAAAATACATTTCACCAAATAAAGTTTTCAATATATTACTATATTTACTGCCAAAAATGGAAATTCCTAGGTGATGAGATAAATATTTTAAGCCGTAAATATGTTATATAAAATATATTGCATTTGTAAATTTAGTTTTGTTAAAATAAGTGCCAAAGGATTAATTTTTAAAGGTGTCATAAAATCACACATATTATTGTTAGTTATGTTTCTTAGTAAATGTTATTTTTTTTACTAAGCCGACTATAACGATTTAAGCAGTTTGTACTTAAATTAAAACTTGAAAATTTCAACTTCCGTGATAATTTATAAACATTAATATTTATTTTATTCAATATTAATCTTATTTAATAAATATTTTAAGTAACTATTTTTTTGTGCACTCCGCGCTGAGTTCTCGGGCTCTCAGTTCTCTGTGGTCCGGCGGAAAGCGATGTCAAAGGGTTAGAACAGGTTCGCTGGCAAATTCCCTCTCGGCCCAAAAACCGAAACCGAATCGGAAACCGAACCCGATTTGGCCAGCATCAGAGGAATATAAGAGAAATATGCTGCGCACATGCCCTCTCTTTCGCCCCGAAACAACTCTCTCTATCTCTCTCTCGCATTCACTCTCTCTCGCTGTTTCTGGTAAGAGTGCCTCTATTTTACTGACGCAGATTCAGTACTCAATTGTTGTTCTACCACGGCGTACGTGAACGCGGACGAAATCCGTAAACTCCATATAGGCAATCTAAAAAATCTCATTTCAAATCGCAGCGTTTAGTGGCTGTAAGTGCTGTCTCGCTCTCGCCTTTTTACCTCTGTGTGGGTGTGTTTGTGTTTGTGTGCTTAGGAAAATTGTACAAATTATGGATACGAAATTTAATGCAAAATCATAAGTGAAAACAAGAAAGAAAAACAAAAAACGGGCGGCAATCAAGCGGAACATCAAATCACCACCCAGAAAAAAAGGGGTGGTGATGGGAAAAACGCTCTCCCATTTGTGCGTGCGTTTGTGTGTGTGTATTTGTATACAAGTGGAAATGCGCTCGCGTTTTCGGCACTTTTCACGTTCCTTTTGGGCCAGAATCGAAAAACAGGACCACACCCGCGCGGGTGCAAAACTTGAAAATGGGGGAAAAAAAAATGCAGAAAAGCTAAAGAAAAACAGCGCTGCAAGAAAAATTCCAGTTTCCCAAAGGATCGCAAAAAGAGAGAGGCGGCAGGGATTTATAAGAGTGACTCTGAAAACTTGTACTGGCTGAAAATTCTCAAAGAAGGGGGGTTTTTTTGGGGCCAGGACAGTTGCGCAAGTGAGCAGTTCCCGTTATTGGGGACTTTTGGCCAACAAGATAACCGTTACGCATCAGCTGTTAACTTAAAAGGGAAAAAAAGAAGATAAGGTCAATATTAAATAAAACAGGCTCTAAGGAATCTGGAATATTGAACTTATATCAATTATTTTCAGTATTAATCCCTAAATTATTGCCATTAAATCTTAAAACTTCATGAAATCAATTAGAAACTGTCAAGTATGAAACTTTTATTTAAAATTAAGCACTTATTTCATTAAAATTAAGTGTCCTTTTCCTATAAACAATATATGATTAATAAGGTTTATCTTACTTTAGTTGAATACAAGCTTTACAAACTTTTCGACCTCAATGAGAAACTGCCAAATATTAAACCCCTTATTTTCCTGCTCAGCAGTTTTTCCCTGCCGCCTTGGAAAACTGGTTCTCTCTCTCTCTCTTTCTCTCTCTCTGTTTTTTGGCTCTGTGCAGCCGCCACGATTTTCCAGCGAGCCGTTCGACAGACCCGTCAGTCGGAGTTTTCAAAAAACGGCAATTGGTGTGGCGGTAACGGCAACGCACAGCTGTGAGTTTCAGTTTCGGACCTGTGATTTTTGTTGCCCGAACAAAGAAATGGGAAAACAGTAGGAGGATGCTAATATAAAGCACCTCGTCAAGTGACAATTATATAATGTATGGCAGAGAAACAAAGGCGTAACCTCCTTTTTTTGTGAACCAGCGTATATGACTCACGTGTTTCAGTGTGTGTGTGTGTTTGAGTGTGCCAGTGAATTCATAAAAGCCAAAGGACCTTCTCATTTTGTTGACCAGACGCGACAATTACCACATCAAAAGCGAAATACCCATACAATATTCCTATTTTTATGCCGTATTGATTTTATTTGTTGTGCATAAAAGCCGCGCCTGTGTGTTTATGTTCGGTCCTCATATCGCCATTCATTTTACGCCTTATGTCTTATGCTTTTTCCTTCGTTCTGTGCCTCATACCATTCAACATTCACCATTTCCCTCAATCAAATAGGAATAACATAAAAATCCTTTGTGCAGCCCCACGTAAAAAGTCAACGGTTTCAAAGTCCTCCGTCAAAAGGCATCCATACGCCCAGTGTACTCGAAAGAAAGTGTCATAAAGCATGCGATTATCCTGTAAACAAAGTGTAAAACGCGCCCGACTCCAATAAACGCCGAAAAAGAAAGGCAAACAACAAACAACTCCCGGATTTTACGACTTGAGCAATCAATTCCGCTGGTCACTCGGGGATTTGAGGACTCGCAGGACTCGCAGGATTTACAGGACTTGCAGGACTCTAGGATTCCCAAGTACACAACTATAGAATCGAATCCTGAGCACGTCGTATAATGATTGCGCAAGTGAGGTGAGTCACCCATCAAGGCAAACATCGATATTCTGAAATGGGCGGTCAGAAAGCACTCCTCGGGGAAAACTAAAACGTAACTAAAACATAGGCAGGCAGGCACACTACACAATATTCTAGGGAAAAGCCATCATAAACTGCACATACACCACACACACATCGAACAAAACAATCAAATACTCCATAGTCCGCAGGCTAGAATTTAATTAAAATTTATGAAATTTTCAATTACATTGGCAAGTGTAAATAAGTGCGAGTGCGGGCCCAATTCAATTACGAAGTATCTGAAAGGCCAGGAAAAACACTCTCTCTCTCGGCCGAAAAACAAACAACTAAAAACTGGGCCAGAAAGCACAGAAAACAAACGGCAAATGCCAGGCGGGAATTGAAGGGATCGGGATCGGTTTTTGGCGAGAGGGGATTCCGATTGCGATTGCAGTTTGCAGTTTTCAGTTTCCAGTGGTGGTGGAACAAGGCAGCTTGATTGGTTTTGTGGCTTGGTATCATCCACATCTTCCCCAGACTTTCAGACTTTCAGACATTCAGGCTTCAATGGCGACAGAATGGAGGGACAGATGGTCAGTGCGTTGCAAAATAACGAAGCAGCAAACATGTGTAACCGATGACGACCAAGACAAAGGCAAAGATAAGACCAGAAGGGTTATTAGTGGTTCGGGGGTATCAGGAAATTGCAATTCCCATACAGGGAACTGCGTTTTGCGCTTCACTTCATCCGCTTCTTGGCAATCATTTATTCGAATTTCCCCTTCGATTTTGCCCTTTTTTTTGTTGATGCTGATAAATGAAGTCGTTGTTGGGCTAACGCCATTGAAGAAAGGCCCCCATAAAATTTCGGGCCTCTGTGTCTGTCTTTTGGAGTCCCTGAAATGCCAGCAATCATCTTTGGATCGATTGCCCATTATATCGTAGTGCATGGCAGATATTTACATGTACGCAAAGGCTGGAAGTGGGTGCTTGCGTGACTGCCGACTAAGGTCATTCTGTAACCTATTCAAACGAGTTACGACCTCGCTTAGCGGCGATAACGATAACAATAACGATAACGACGATTACTATGCTCTCGCACGAATGCAGTCAAAAAACTGACGCGCAATAAGTGTAAACATAAACAAGAAATTGGGGCCAATAGCTTCGATGATCGAATGTACATATACTCTGTTGCTGAAGATTTCACCGTGCAAGCATATAAATATGTTTTTAAGTTTTTTTTTAAAAGTCAAAATGTTTTTAAAAATGGTAAGCCTTTTAAGTGGTCTTTAAAATTTATTAAACCTAATGCCAAAACTTTTACTAATTTGGATGGTTTAATTAATTAATTAATTTAAGAAAAGCACATCTGTAAATGCAAGAAAAATGTAATTTAAGGTATCAAAAACATTTTTTTATAGAGTTCAACATGCCACAAAACTTTCATTGTTTGTTTTAATATTTTCAACCTAATTAAACCAAAATTAATGTTAACTAATGCAAAGGTAACATTAACAATAACAAATGGAGAGTACCCTTCATTTTGGGTTCCAAAGTAAGGCACCCAATACAAAACAAAAGCAATGATGCGGGGAACGGAAGTTGTGGTCAGTCAGTCAGTGAGTCTGCTTATAGTTTTTTTTTTGTAGTTCAGTTCGCTGGAATTTCTTAGCTTCGGGGTCCGAGTCACAGAGATTATCCAACAAAATGTGAACCAACGTGAGGCGGCCTGAGAACTTTATCAGCGTCTTTTGTGTTTTGAGTATACACACTACACACAACACACAGCACACTCCACATAAAATTCTCTCGATCTCGGACAACTCCAGAGTTGGCGCCCAAAAAAACTGGCGCACATAATGAGACCGAGCGAAACTCGAGCCCAAAACACAAGTCCGAGATGAAGGCGTAGAAGTTTGGGTTTGGGACGGACGACGGGGAATTTGAGATCGGCTTACACTTGGAGTTGTACATACGGGTTATGTTATGTACATCATCGGACTTCAGTTGTATAAGAGAGGAGCTGACTCTGACTCTGACTCTGGCTTTGGCTTTGGCTCTGGCTCGAACTTGTTTTTCTTTTGCTGCGATAGATACACAGAATTTCCTGCAGCAGCCGTTTGTTTGGTTCCTGTATTGACGTCAGATGAAAACACGAAATGCAATTTGCAGTCGACGATCTTGGTGCAATGGCAGCACAACAGCAGACAGGTAGAAAAACACAGGAAAAAAGATTGGTGTGCCATAAAACATTGGAATTTTTTAAGCAGTATTATATCAATTTATATCAAACCAAGGAACTATACAAATTCATTGGACAGCAGAGGCATTTAAATCTTTTTTCCCAACTTTGGTAATAAATGTGTAGTTAATTTCGATTTTTAATTAATTTTTAATGGATAAAACATAAAAATCTACTAAAAGGTTGCCTTTTTTTACTGTGCAGGGAAACCAACTCTTAAACATTCCCACACATTACGCTCAGGTGAAATGGAGTTGGGCGGGATAGTGAGTGGTGGTTCATGGTGGAAGCACCACATGCAGGGCTTCGCCAGAAGGTGCACCACTCATCACACCTCTATGCACCACTCACCCACATCCTGGTGACGCTTTGTTCTTGCCTCTTGTTTTTGGTTTTGTTTTTGTTTGTGTTTTTCTGTAGGGTTTCTACACTTCATTGGCAGTGAAGCGTTAAAATTGACCCAGTTGCTGATTTATTTTTACAGCTCTTCGGGTTTGGGCAGTGCGAGGTGGAGTCGTGGGCACTTCTCCTGAAATTGGATGGCCCGGCAAAAATAATTCAAATTGAAAAGGAGGAAAAAACAGAAACGCAAAAACGTAAAAACAATGCGAATTTGCGTTTCCATTTAAATGCATGAAAAATACGTATTTCTGAATATTCGAGCAGAGCAGTCGGCACGATCTGAACTCCACATTGCATCGAATCGAATCGAATCGCTTTAAGGTCTTCAAGCTCCGTGCACGAATGCATTTTCAATTTGCTTGCTTAAAATTCCCGAGTCGAGATGGCTGAGAGGAACAACGAAATAGCAAGCTTGCAGTTAAAGTTGAAAATTGTTTGCATTTTTGCGCTTGCGATAAAAAAATAAGTACTACACTGGTGGTATATGGAAAGGCCCTCCTTTTCCCAAGCAAAAACTAGAGAAAAAAAACAAAGCGGAGACAACTTTTTGCCGTCCCTCTTTTTGTCTCGTTGTTACTTCTCTTTTAATAACTATGCGGGCTGCTTTTTGTTTTCTTACGTCCAAACTTCTGGCCTAGAAAAAGGGGGTTGTGGAATTGCCAAGCGGAAAGAAGCTAAAAGTTTAAGTGCAAAGCCGGAGAAATTAAAATATTTCCATACTGCAAGTGGGCAGGGGACTTAACTTAAAGTTTCACATTTGAATAAAATGTAACGAAATTGTGTGTGGGTCATAAAATGGTTAACCAATTCAAAGGCCTCCGAAAAGGCAGAACAAAACAGAACAGAGCAGAGCCCTAAACAATTTTCCCAGAAGTGCTGGGTGGTGTTCATTATTTCGTAGCGGCCATTTAAGTAATTTGCCACACTTGTCGCCGGCCATTAGGCCCCATTAAAGCGCAATCAGAAATCGTGTTTCCCCTCTGCCATTTTACCATTTCACTACCATCACCATACCACTCCTTGACCAGCACTCGAGTATCAACGAATGAACAACGAAAAAGTTGCCAAAGTGTTGCCAATGCACGAACCCTTTTTATTAGTTTTGAGATATCGACAAGCAGAGCAGCAGGAGGGCCCAGGCCCAGCTTTTAATAAGGACATTCAGGCCACAGCGGCAAATAGTTCAATGGACTCGTCAAATCGACCGTTTCGATGGTATTGGTGGGTATTTTTCGCCCGCGAATTTTTCCTTTTCGTGTTTGTGTTGGGCATAAGACGCAGCTTAGCCAGGAAAATCAATATCCTTTGTAAGGACCTGACTGCGCTGGCTGAAAAATGTTTGAGTTAAAAAAAAATAAGTGTCCACCCACTCGCTTTTTTACCGTGCACGGTGCAAAGAAATAGAATATATTATACAAATACCAAGGATTTATATTACCAAAGCCAGCAAGGCAGACAACCAAGGACGAATCATCTCCCATTTCTGAATTTATTTAAAGCATTTGTGAGTGCTTTTAGAACCACGTTTTCTTTTCAAGTGTTTATAAATTATTTGGATTTCAATTAAAAATATGAGTTGGTCTTAAAACATTTTATGGAAGCCACATTTAGGTTATATAATACCAAAGTAAAGTATTCGGCTCTTGATAGCATAGGTATATTTCAGTAACATGATTTAAAATTAATGCATCTATGACATTAAAACTAAATAATTTAAAACGACCTAGTACTGAATGAAAAATAAGCATAATAAAAGAATGGAACAGACATCCGAGTTATACAAGATATTTAAATTTTAATTTAATACATCCAATGTTTTGACATATTTAACAAAAGACTTATTCAAGTTTTATATTAACAAAGTAAAATAATCGACCGTTGATAGACTATTTTTTGTGGAAATACAGAAGATTGCTGAGATTGTTTAGATTTCAAATAACACGATTCTTAGATATTTTGTTCTTAAAAAAATACTTTATTAAACCTGCTCAAATAATTTAAAATAAATGTTTCCTTACAAAGTTAGTTAAATATTGTGAATGTTTTTAGGGGCTAATACCAGAGTACCAGAGTAAAGGTATAAGCTTAAAAATCTTAGTTTATTTTCTAGCTTATTATTTTTTGTTGACTCTTTTCGAGTTTAAGACCTCCTTAGTTGGCTCTCTGTAGAAAACAAACATCTGCATCTGGTCAGGCAAGGAGGTTCCTGGCGCCGTTGTTTACTTATTCAATTTGGCGCTGTTTGAACTGCGCTGATATGCCCATTATAAGGTGCCCTGCTTATGCTTCATTCGCTATCGAGTGTACGACCTGCTCCATGACGTATACGTAATTACGTTTGTCGCTCGTTGGCCTCGCCCCGTTGCGA